GTTGCTCGTGGGGTGGGTGCTTCGGGGGTCGCCGTGGGTGGGGTTCTGGGGCAGCCTTCGTGTCATTGTTAAGGGTTTCGGTTTCTGCAAAATCGGTGCCGGTGACAACAAACCGGACAGCCCGAATCGAGAGAGGTTTTAGCAAAGATTTGCTGGCCAGCTCAGTGACTCAGTTTCCCCAGCGGTCTGTCCCCACTGGGTGTTGCAAGGATTAACCTGTGAGCACGCAGTGTGTAAAGGTCCTCTGGTAGAAAGTTTCTTATAGGGGCAAGGTTTTCCAACATTGGGGACCTGATGAGCCCCCAATGAGGAAAATGAAACCGGTTCTTTGGGTCAAGTACTCGAGTGCTTTGCTTGCTGGGCTGTCATGTAAAGGTGTCCACAGCTGCAATAGTGGCACTTTGAGGACTGGTCATCCTGCATACACAAAGGCCTCTGCCATGCTTTGGGAAGTGCTTAACAAGCCCCTTAGTATAACATTAAAGATTTTAATAGTTGCTCATGAAGCCATTGAACATGGCTTCCAATCACTACACTTTTTTTTGTTTTGTTTCGCTTTTTAAATCTTGTTCTTAGAGTCAAGAAATAAATGGATAACTGAGAACTTCAGCTGTGAGCTGCTGTTTGCTTGGGTTGAAAGGTTGAGTGACTGTGATGGATGGAACAGCATTTAAGTAAAGCGTGTAGCAACTGGAAGGGAACATGCCAAAGAGATGCTTCATAGGGTCTGAAATATTGTATTTCTTCTCTCTGCTTAAAAAAATTTCCTCTGACACTTGCTCCTGGCATACATCTCCCTCTCGCGTTTATACGTGCTGACTTCTTGTAGGATTGCCTGTAAGTGCAGGAATAATTGCAGTCTTGCTCTCCACTTGGCTTTTGGGGTTCTGCCTACCAGGCTTCTGCGGAGGTATGATCCCAAGCTGATGGTAGTTCAAGCACTCTTAAATACCCCTGTGTGCCAGTTTTCTGCGGCAGAAGGTATAGCAAGCATGGTTGAATGAGGAAGTGGCTTTGTTTTGAAAATAAAGTGATGGGAAATGAGCTTTGCAGTTGCAGAGTTTAGTCCTTTTGATTGGTTGCATCTCTAACTGTAGCCTGTATTTGGTTGTGGAGTTCACCTGTTTTCTTCTTTCTTTTTCTGCTCTTAGGGTAAAGTAGAATACCTGGTGAAGTGGAAAGGATGGCCTCCAAAGTAAGTTGTGTTTCAGTTGTCTTTTACTCTTTCTTTAATATTCGGTAATAGCTTACGCTGTATCTGTGCAACTGAGCATCTCATTCTTAATGGGTAACCTCTTGTGCCTCATTCTAACAACAATAAACAAAAACAAAGAACCACAAACCAAAACCAAATCTATTTCTGGACTGGCAGCTGAGGGATACAAACTGTGTGCCAGTCTATTCTGATTGTGTTTTGCCACTGCTGAGCTATTCCATTGAGATGCTTTCTAGGTACAAATGTTCTTAAATTCATTATGAGTTCCACAGGGAACCCTGATTCTTCTGAATTTGGAATGGCTCCTGCTTTTCTGAGTCAGCACCAAGAGGACCCCACTTTATTTTTAGAGCTGTATTCAGTCTTTTAAAATAGAAAACAAGTTGATGGTCTTGTCTTGTTGTCCTACTGCTTCCCCTCTGCAATTCACAAATGGAAAGGGGCAGTGTTTCAGATTCAGTGATTGTAGCCAAATGCAGGTGATCTTTGTCCCTTGAAAATTTCCACCATGCCTTCATTTCCGTGTCTGAAACCTTCTGTTGTTTTGAGTGCCTCTTCTGCTTTTGCTTCGGTTGCTCCATTGCCCTCCCCCCCCCCCAAAAAAAAAAAAAAGTTTTTGCAGCATTGCTGTGCACTGTTTATGTATACTTCTTTTATTAAAATGCAGCTGCCTCTGAAGAAGATTGATTGCTCTGTGCCTAAACAGTCTGCAAAATGCTTTGAGATTAAAAGGATTAGGTAACTGGGGAATATTACTGTGTTAGCTAGCAGTCTAGTAGAACAGCCTCCTGGTCAACCCATATGGGGCCCTGTCTTTGCTTGTCTGTTTGTAACTGTGTGTGTACATACACAATGTGCGTGGGCACAACTACGTTACACATGGAGTTGCACTGGGTGTTGCTAAGCAAAGGGGGCTGCTTTTACGGGTTTGTCCTTGCAGTTGCAAAGTGGGGCCTGCTAAGGTGGTCTTGACAGATGGACCTGGTGTCCAAGAAGTGGAAATGTGTTCTGGTGTGCATGATCCTCGTGCCTAATCCTTGTGCTTGTAAGGCATGTATGAATGTAAGCAGCTTCCCCTCACTGGTGGTAGTGGGAGAGGGTGACTTTGTTCTTGACTCTTAAGTTCTGCTGTCAAAGTGTAACCTTGTGCACTTGTTGAGCACCAGTTGCTGTATAGTGTGGGTCAGTCCTTGGACTGCTTCAGCCTTCTAAGTAGCCAACGCTAATTTAATTGCTGGTAGAGGTTGGGGAAAAAAAAAGAGTGTGAGGCACCATCCCCTCTTGGCCAGAATACCGATGTTTATCCCAGTCTCCTTTCAACAAATGCATTGAGGTCTTTCTCTTGTAAAGTCACTTGCCAAGAAGGTGGGCTGAGGCATGGCGTAATGCTTCCTTGGACAGAGCAGCCCTTATTCTCACTGCTGCCTTTCCTTGCCCTGTGCCTTGGAACTCGGGGGGAGCCAGAAACTCTCTTTTGGGAATTAAAAGCATAGCCTTCTGCCCAGTGAGCAAGGGGATGTCAGGGTTCTTTTCTTTCGAGGCTGTGATGTGTCCAAACACCTTCCCTTTTCCCCCAAACTCCAAATCTGAAGAGCACTGATTTACCCCCCACCCCTGCCCCCATTTTAACTGTTCACTCAGTGTTTTGAGGTGCTTAAAACCAAGATGCTTTGAGCACTGAAGTCACTTTCATCCTGCTAGCAGTCTCTGTTCCTTGTTTCTAAACATACATATGCCTGTGATGGCATGCAGCACCACAAGCTGTTTGCATCTTTGTCTTCCAACATATTGCATTTCCTCATCCCACGTCGTGTTTCTCTTCATTCCTCTCCCCAACCTTGTCGCATTGCTCTTTGTAATCTCTGTACCAGTTATCCTGTCATTCCCATTGGAAGCTTCATGGAAGGGAATACGGATAGGTTAGGAGTTTGCTGGTTTCCCATGTAGTTGATATTTCAGGATGTGGGGTTTTTTTTCTTTTTAATAAAAAAAATTCTTGTTAATGCCCTGCAGCTCAGATTTCTGGATTGTACTGCTGGAGTGAGGGAATGGAGGAGTTACAATCTGATTCTAGCTACAAGCTTGTTTACAACTTGTGTTGGAGTTAAGAGGGGAGGGGGAAGAGGAGGAGTAGAAGGAGGGGGAAGGAAGATCATATGATCTCTGTTTTCCAGAGTGCCTGCTCTCTGCAATACTGCTGCAGCCTGGGCTGTGTATACCCGTATATATAGTGCTGTGTGTGCGTGTGCGCGCGCGCACGGGGCAAACTCAACCATGTTTTTTTTTTATACGCAGTGTTTTGCCACTGCAGCGAAGCCAGAAACTGAGCTGCAGAGAAAACGGCAACACCCACCGTTTTTTTTTGTTTTTTTTTTTTAAAAAAAGCAAATCCCCTTTCTTCTCCTGCCCGTGAAAAGCAATCCAATGTCTTTTTTCCCCCCTTGTATTATTATTTTTCTTACATTTGTAGAATGAGTGCCAGAATCCCTGCAGCTGGGAGGAAACCTTCCTCTGTTCAAACAGCATCTTGGCTTTGACAGCTCACAGTCAGGTTGCTGCAGGAGGCTTGAGCGAAGGCAGGGGGGAGGAATCAGCTGGTTATGAAGACATGTCTGTTCTTAACTCTCTGATGTCCAGTACGCCTTGGGATACCTGAATTTCATATTTTTGTATCTCTCTTTTGTAAAAGAATTGTACTTGAATTTCTAGACCCATTCTCCAGGAATGCTCCTATATTTCAGTACCTTTGTTCTGTCTGATGGAGAGATGAAAGGGAAAAGCATTCCCAAACCACCTCCCCTGTGTACATATATGAGTGTACCACGTGGCCTCATGTGCAGCCTGTGCTTGATCCAGAAATGTAAACATCCTAAAATGCTTTCCCCCTGTTTAAAGGCATGGATACAAATGCACTCTTGCCCACCTGTATGTGGTGCTCTCTGGCCCTCCTCCCCAGGGGCTGGGAGGGGCGCTGCCTCCAGGCCCTGGACCTCCCATTCCGGGAAGATTAATGTTCTGAGGCATTTGGGGTTTCAGACTTGCCTTCTTGCCTTTGAGATTGTATGGTAGAGACATGCCACCCACCTTTTCTGGGCAGACATGACCCCTTAGAAGTAAACATGCCATGAGAACCACCTTGTGATCCTTTTACCTGCCACAATGGGAGTTTTGACTGCTTCTCCCTGGTATTAAGTGTAGATGTGCCCTTTGGGAACCGGTTTTGGCGTTGCCTGCTAGATGGGTTCAGTCCTTTCCTGAGCATCTGACTCTTGTCGCAGCTGTCTGGCAATCGAGGCGGCAGATGGGGCAGTGAGTGACACTGTTCACAGGCTACTTTCAGAGCTTCAGGCTTATTTTGAGTAGTTTTGGTAGCTCTGACCACAACGCAGATGGGTCCCTCCTGCGCCAGTACAGAAATACTGGTGACCTCTGCTAGATAGAAATAACCTGCAGGGGGAGTGGAGCAAGAGGAGGAATAGTTGGAAAGCTGCCATCAGCTTGCCTCAGGGCCCAGGTCTAAACATGTTCAGTTGAGTGGCGTCGGTGGAGAAAAATTAAACTCTTCTTAAATGAAGACTTTCAGCTCCAGTGATTAGAGGTAATTAATAATGCCGGTGAGAAAGCGTACTTACTCTTTGAGCACTCTAAATTAAGAGAGACCTATTTTTCAGAAAGCTGTATCAAATCACATCTCATTGTTCCATGGCGTTTGTTGGATTTGAGGGAGTGCTGTAGAGGAGACCTGTTTAGGCATTGACTTAAAATCAGTTTGCGAGTGTCTGCACAGGCTTTGCAGACAGTGTGGAGGGGGCCCTGGGGAGGAAAGTCTTCCCTGTTCTCCTACAAAGAGCTGCTTAATGCTTGGCCCTGCGCGTTTTTGGAAGAGATGGTGTCTGCGGGAAGTTGGGGATGGAATGGCTGGGATTCCTCAGAGCTCTTGCAGTGTTGTGGCACGCCCCACCAACCCTTGTGAAGACAGTATCCAGGGCCACAGCACACTGGTAGCAGGCTTGCAGAGAGAATGTTTCATTAAAGTATTGTTTACTTTCTATTCCTTATGTTTTTCTTCAGATACAGCACATGGGAGCCAGAGGATCATATCTTGGACCCTCGCCTGGTAGTGGCTTATGAAGAAAAGTAAGGGCGCGTGTTCTTTCTCTCCCTGGACACAGGAAAAGGAAATGGTGCCTTTATTTTGTAGGGTGCATGAAGTGTCCCTGTTGTCACTACTTCAACCAAAGATGAGATGTATAGCAGTAGATCCTGTACCCTAGTGTTGGCTGAGGCAGACAAGACAAGGGTTAAAGCAGCTTTGATTGGCACTCTTCAGGAAATGAGGCCAAGAACAAGCAGCATTGAGCCAAAGAGCAATCAGCCTTGGGTTTTAATCAGGTCCAGGGCTGGACTGGAGTGATGCAAGGTGATAAGTTTCTCTAACCCATCCTTGATCAGCTGAGTCGGAGAAATTCCCTTATTACAAGGCTTTCACTCCTACAAGAAGCAATTCTTCCAAGCCCACACTGGTCACTGTTAGGTTTTAATGAAGGAAATGAGGGAGCTGTGCTGTGAAAGGTAGAAGTCTCGACTAGGTTTTGTGCTGTGGTATTTAGTACTCAGTTTGATTTGTGTTCCTCTTTCACAGGGAAGAGAGAGACCGTGCATCGGGGTACAGGAAAAGAGGCCCCAAACCAAAGCGCCTACTACTGCAGGTAGCTTCTTGCTCTTCTGTGTATTTCTAACTCATTAGCTGCTGTGCTGCTCCTCTGCTCACAGGGAGGTGGAAACTGTCTGTTTGCTGTTGCATGGACAAAACTGGAGGTAACGAGCTAACACAACAACATGAGATCCATGACAAAGTGGTAGGCAGATAGTTCTAGCCTGTTAGCTGAAGAGCCAGCTAACTTGTCTTTAAAAGTGCAAACCAAAACAAAAAACCCACACCAGCAACAGCCCTTGCTCTCTGAACTAGGATTTTATAAACTTTGGATTTGAGTGGTTGCAGGTTACTGGGTTTGCGTGCTCTTTTAATTTCATGTTGGACTTGGAGTTTCCATTGTGTTAAAGGCAGCCACTGGTTGGAAGCGAAGTTCTAGTACCCTTTGACCTTTGCCAAGCAAAGCAGCCAATCCCAGGAAGCAGGTATTAGGAAGAGCTTAGATGGCAGTTGAAGAGGTGAGAGAAAAGTGTTGTAGAAACAGCACAACTTCTCCTAGCTCATCTAGGTGTTCAGGGACTGAACAAAGACTAGTTTCCTGGCTCCCAGATGGGAGCCCTGACTGTACTATCAGATTTCTGCTCTGACCCTTGCTGCGTTGATGTCTTGACAGCGGCTGTATGGCATGGACTTGAGGAGTGCCCACAAGGGAAAGGAGAAGCTCTGTTTCTCTCTTGCGCGGAGGTTTGGAGGAGGAGACAGTAGCCTGCCAGGGGCCAAGCCAGGGCAGGCAGAGTTCTCGGAGAAGACTGGGGGAGCGGTCCTGCCATTCTCTCTCCGGAAGCAACGCAAAAATCAGAAGTACCTGCGACTGTCAAGGAAGAAGTTCCCCCGCATGGCGAGCCTGGAGAGCCGAAACTGCAGGCATGAGTTCTTCCTGAATGATGCAGTGGGCCTAGAGGCCAGGCAGGGCCCTGAGGACTGGGAGGCCATGCAGCACACCAGCAAAGAAGGTAAGGCCAGACACCCCTTGGCTGTGAAGGTCTGGGACATGCGAAGGATGTTCTGCATGCTTCCTCCTTGCTTGCCTCGTCCTGGGATTGTGGTTTAGGTCAGGTCCTCACAGCAGCTCTCGCTGGCTCGCATTGTGGCCCTCTTGTCTGCAAGTTCCTTTCTTGCTTGGATGAACAGCAGAGATTAATCTGCTCTTTTCATGCTGTTGTCTCTCCGTAGTCTCATATGAGTGGTGCCCCTCCCAGTGTCAGAAAACACTCCCCTCTCGTGGTTTCCTCCCAGCAGAGGTGTCATGCAGGTGTGACAGTGATGAACACTGCCTCTGTCCGCACATCCACACGTGTTCAGCCTGCCGCTCTGCTAAAAGGAGCTTGGCTGGCAGCGGACAAGCTCGGAGCGCTTCCCTCGTAGCGCTGCTCACATACAGACGGAACCCATAGTGTGTTCCTCTGCCCCCTCCTTCCCTTTCCTCTCCACACCCCCTGTCCTCTAAAGTCTCTTGCTGTAAAGCTATGTGAGAAGGGGATGAGAGACATGAAGTGAGGATGGTAATCCCTGCCCAGTCCCACTGAGTAGGCAGCGTGAGTGTAGGCACGGGAGATGTCCAAGCACATTTGGCATTTTGGGGAGGGATACCAGCATTTTGTGCAGGAAGGCTGTGGGATGTGCATGTTGCTCTGAGTTACCAGGGAAACTCTATCTCTGCATTATTAGAGCTTCTGAAGGCGTAGCTTTCCTGAGGAGTGGAAAACCAGGGCTTAGGCTGCTTGTAGTAGCTAAGGGAATCCTGTTACTCCTTGCTAGGAGTAGCTGTTAGCCAGGCTGGATTAGGCAGGATTTTGAGGAGAGGGCTGTGTTCTGGGCATCAATGCTATCCTCTCCTTTCTGAGAGGGACTCAAACAGTGCCCAAAATCCAGGCAACAATGCAAGGTAGCACGGAGGAACTCAGTGTTGCATCCTGGCGATGGACAAATATGTGGGGCTGTTCCACCCTAGAAGCGCTGGCACTTGCGGATTGGAAGAGCGAACAGCACTACAGAAATTTAAAACTGTTTTTGTTCTCCCCTTGACACATGGCCTGCATGGAATTCCAGTTGTTGTTAGGGGGGACTGGACTCTCTGAGGTGAAAGTAGGCACCCCAGGTATTTGAGACAGAGGCTCTTAAAGGGCCCTCGTTCCTTGCCCAGGCTGGCACAACAAGGTGTGTAGTAGAGGTATAGCGACAGGGAGAGGGTATGTTTTCCTTCCTCTCTCTGTGTATTTTTGTGGCTGTGTCTGGGCATTGGGGGAAGTGAGGCTTTGGGTGGCAGAGGGACTGATCATTATTCTTATAGTGAGAAAGTGCAGGGATGCTTGGGTTTCTTGTGTGGAGCTATCCGGGAGCAAAGGAAGGGTATGGGAAAGGGAGAGCAGCCTCTCCATGAAGCAGTATTGATAGAATCGTACCCAGGCTGCGTTGCAGGTGCAATTCAAGGGAGACTCTCCATTTTGGATCCCTTTGACACTCATAGGAGTATCTGAAGAGTGTGTGTAACAGTGTGTGATTTTTGGCTTTTTGGCAGGGTAGGTCATGAAGAAGCAGGTGAGCTCACACCTGGATGAGCGTGCTTTGCTGGCACAGAGCCACATTAGGGGCTGAGATAGGGTGAGAGGTATCAGGGAACTGTGGATGGTTAGATGAGCTGGGTGGTGTTACAGGGTCTTTTGACCTCTGTGTAGGCTGTTCTGACACTGGTGTGTGCCTGGACACCTTTGCTACTCTTTCCTTTTCCTGTTGCATCCTGCAGTGATCCTCCATTTTCCCTTAGCCTCTGAGGGGAGGGCTTGCCCATGCTCTTTCTTGCCTTGTACGTGCAGACTCAGTACAGGCTGATTTCACCCGCCGCTTGTCAGAAAGGAGGCCCCTTTTCCCTTCTTTCCCTTCCCTCTCTTCTTCCTTCCGTCTCTCTCACCCTCTCTCTCTCACTAACATGCTCTTATCTGCCTCTCCTTCTGCAGCAGATGTGGATGGCAGTCTCCCTTGGATTCCCACTGTGCCCCCCAGCGAAGTGACAGTGACAGACATCACGGCAAACTCCATTACCGTCACTTTCAGAGAAGCACAAGTGGCTGAGGGCTTCTTCCGAGACCGGAGTGCGCAGTTCTGAATCTGTTTTCAGTGCTCCCCAAAACCAATGCTTTTAGGGTGGGGCTAGGGAAGGGTTATTTTATCCCTTAAGAAAAAAAAAAAAATCCAAAATGTCTCCTCTTTAAAATGTTTACAGAGACCTTTTTTTTTTTTTTTCTCCTTTTTCCCCTTTCAGATACGCAAAAAAGGGCAGTGTAGGGGGTGTGTGTTTGTCATTGCTTTGTCCATCTGAAAAACTGACAGCCCTTTCCCTGGCAAAGACTCCCCTCCTAGATGTGAAAGCCGCAAGCTGAACAATTCGCCTTTTATCCTGTTAAGTGGCGGCAGCTGCATTTGTGGGGAGAGGGCATGTGGAGGTGGAAAGAGAGCTGGATCTCTAGCCTGCCGCCTTGTTCTGCAATTGATATCCCTTGGATAAAGATACTTCTCTGTGCATTGCTCTTCCCACCTTCCTCCTCCCTCTCTTCCTGCAGCAGTGAAAGGCGATGGATCCGACCTGTGTAGATAACTCCAGCCTGTTAAGACTTTCTCTCCAGTGCTGTTTTCCCTGTGGCCTGCTGTCAGGACTTCAGAACCGTATTTGCCTGTCTGTGGTAAGTCAGTCTTTGCAGCCCGCGTCCATACAGACAGCAGAGCTTTCTCCCTGTGATTGTTGATCATGTGGAAGGACTGAAATGCATCTCTGAAATCTAGATTGGCGACGTAAATTCAATTTTCCCTCATTAAAAGCTCAGAAACCCAGCGCAGTCGAGACATACCGTTCTGTATACGCTAAACAGGATTTCTAGGCTGGGCTGTGTGAGGAATGCATTATGGAAAGTGGGGTGTTCTTGCCCTTTGCCAAATTATTAATGACAAACGCTGCCCTGAATCTGTGGTAATAAGTTGGTTGAAAATTGACTCCTCCGGGAGGAGGGGCTGATAGGACAACCGAAGCATTGCCTGGCGCTGCAGAGATAGCCAAGGTACTGGCACAGGCCCAGGACACAGGAATTGGACAGAACTGAGCTAGAAATGGACCTTGATTAGCAGCAAATTCTGTTCTTGGATCCCATTGAGAGATCCAAGGTAAACAACATGTGGGGACGGCGAGTATTAGATTTGAGGAGGGGAAAAAAATTCTTAATTCTTAGCAATGAGAATTCTTGGATTGTTCTGCCTGAGTAATATTCTTCTGTGACTCCAGTCTCCTCACAGTATCTGTGATCCTGTAGTACTTTACTGATGGGAACTTCCCCTTGGAAGGCTTAAAAATCTTTGCCAAGGAAAGTGGTCTGCATTTCAATAGACCCTGCCTGATCTTGCACTTAAAAATGCCTTGTGCTGGACTGCCTGTGACACTTTGAGGTTTTTGAAGAATTGCTGTATTTTGAGTTGGTAGTTTAGCATAGCATCTGTTCTTGCACATGCATGTTCTCTTCCATTTTTTAAAAGCAAATTTTATTTAAATAGCTTACATTTTTAAATAGAGACTTTTCCTATGGAAAGCAAGAAAAGTAAAATAAGAGTCTAAGGTGGGAACTGCAGGACAGAGCTGCAGGGTAACATTAGCTACTGTCATTATTACTGTCCTTAGATCCTTTGTTTCCTCTCCCCACCCCACCTGAAGCATCTCTTACCTGCTGTATTTATTCTAAATGAAGCTACGAGCCTTCTGAGCTCTGAGGTAAAGACACCTGTGGAAATCCTCAGTGTGTTTCTGTGAAGGGCGTGGCTGCTGGCCTGCAGAATTTAGGAGCTCTGGGGCTTCTGGTCCTCCAAACATCTACTTTTTGCAAAGTGCTTGGACTGCCCCTATGATTTCTATTAAAAGCAGGTTTTACCTCAGATAGGATATGGCAGCTTAGTGTAGACTTCGGATTTCCCCTCCCATCTCAGAGCTGTTTGAGCAGCCCTGTCTTCTGACGTGTCACACCAGTTTCAGGACCACTGGGAAGGTCTTGAATTTCTGGACTAACTTTTTGTCTCACAAAGAAGTGACATGGGAGTTCTGTTATGGAGAAATCGCAGAGGGTGAGAAGTGGAAGCTGGAGGGGAATCGTGATGAGAGGAAGAGTGAGTGGGAAAGAAGCTTGCAGTTGCTAGCAAGGGCAGATTGATGAGGTAAGCATACAGGCTCAGGATGTTCGTTGAATGTGGGTGTCCAGAGCGAGGCTTTTGTATCTGGAGTTGCACCCTCTTTTGCAGGATGTGGGGTCAGACAGCGTTGTCATTGTCACCCCTACACACACCCCCTCTTCCTGACACTTACCAAATGCACTGAGCACCTGCAACTTTTTTTTTTTTTTTTTTTTTTGGTTGTTGTTGTTGTGACCAGTGGACACACCGCATGGCTGAGCCCACTCTTGAGGGCTGTAGCAGGTCAGGTAATTATGGTTGCAGAAGCATAATATTTTAGCTTATTTTTTAAAAAATCTTGAACTCTGGCTGATCCTGCTAAGTCTTCATGGCACTTATGGGATCTGGTTTCTTTATTCTAATGCAGCTACTGCTGCCTTTGTCCTGTTTCCATCTCAGTGTACAAATACACCAAAAAAGCTTCCTATTTACCAAGGTTTCTGGCTTTGGCTGACATTGGAAGCAATACCAGTCCTGCGCCAGGAAAGAGCTCATCCTAATAGTCTGTATTTCCATCCTCCACTTTTCTCTCAGCTCACCCAGCTGAGACTTCTCAGTGTTTTGTTTTGGAATTTCTCTTTCAACATCTTTTCTTCCTCTTGCAATGGAGTTTTTGAAGACCTGTGGTGGTCTTTCAAAGAGGATCCACCCACAGCTTCAGCTCTTAATCATTTTTTGGATCAGTCTAGCTTGCGTTCTGCTGGTGACTAATCATCTCACCACACGAAGTGTTTAACAAAGTACCTGGCTACCATGCTGCTTTGTGTACAGGTCAACGAGGAGTTAACCCTTACCAGGTTAAGATGCGACAAGTTGCATGTGCGTGGGTTTGGTTTGTGTGTGTGAGGAGGAGTTTGTGGTAGGAAACTAAGCAGTTAGTGTGTTGGGGTGGACTTTTTTTTTGACGTTCATGAATTCTTGCTTATCTTAAAGATCTTTTTTAGAATATTTTTCTCTTGATCTTTTTCAAATGTAGCTCTGTTCCATATTGTCTGATGACATATCGTTGTAAACTTCCTTGGTAGAGCTGGCCTTCAGGGACTTTAAAATTAGCTTTATTCCACTTCTGCAGGTTTAGAGATATATTGGGGTTTTTACTTGTGATGGCAAGAGAGGTTGTGTGGGTTTACTCGTCTCTTCTCTCCAATACCTTCCATCCGTCAGTTGAACCCAAAATCTGAAAATTGAATTGGGACCTCTTGGGCTAATGTACCATGAAAATCAGATGCTGTGCTCGGAGCTTCGTTAAGCATTCCGTTTGATTAGAAGAGCCAGAATAGCATCCAGCTGAAGCTCAGTTTAATAATTCTATTTGAAGCACAAGCCGAGAATAGAAATGGGCTAACTCTCCCATACCTCATTTGGCTCCATGGCTGTAAACAAGAAAAATAAACTTCAGCCAGTGGAAATCACTGAACTGCACACAAGAAACAAACTTCTCGAAGAAGAACTGTTCTAATAGTAACTCTTAGAACTGTTTCCCTGTGAGAATTTGCCAGCTGCATTTGGGGGACAGAAATTTTTATTTCATAGATCTTCTCACAGTGAATTTGCTGTATATATGACAGAACTGAGGGGCTTCATGAGGTTGGAAAAACTTTAATGTTGACACTGTGTTTAGAAAACAAACAAACGAAAAACCACAAAACCGGAAAGGACTGCCTCTGTTCCCGGATGGTTATAAACTACATGTTATTGCTCTGATATATAAGTGATGCCTTGGAACAGCAAGTTTTAACACATACATAGTGGCATTAAGTAGCCTCGTAGCTCCTGCATGCTCCTTATTGTCTTGCATTTGCTTGGGGGCCCTTCTGTTTGTGAAGTCAGACCAAGGTGTTGGGTTTTTTTGCTCTATCAAGCAAGGCCAGGATATTGTGAGAACACCCAAAAGCAGTTCTGTTTGCCAAAATAAGCCCAAATTTGTCAGTGACTTGACCCTCGCTTATGTCGGAGCCTCAGACAGAAAGAAGCTTATTAAGGAATGAATGGCTTTTTTTTGTAGTTAGTGTTGTGAAACTGTCCGGAATTGTTCTTCTGGTGTTTTGTGACTGAATGTATAAAATTGTTTGCTCACCTCACAGGGGGCCCTTGGCCCCAGTACTGTTTCCTGCTAGTGCTGTTTGATGGTTTCTCTGGCATAGCGAAGGGAGGCCTTGCCCAGGTCAAAAAATAGGCAGGGTAGCTCTTGCAAGACCCTCTGTGGTAGCCACAACAGAGGCCGGGGTGCGGAAGACAGCAGCGAGGGCTGTCAGCCACATCCATGTATTGGAGCAAAGCTAAATCTGCCACCACCTCTGCACCCCTTCCTCTCCTCTCAAGCTTTCAGTTTGTGCTTT